CGCCCGCTCGGCCCCGTCGCGCCTCCTAGGCCCCGTCGCGCCCCCCCTGGGCCCCTTCGCGCCCGCTAGGCCCCCTGCCGACTTCAAGGTGTGGGCTTGGATAGGTTCTTATTGTAACGAAGTTCATATTTTTGTAATGATGTTCATCGTATTGTAATGAAACGTTTATAATGACGTTTCTATCCCATTATATACTCTCTAAAATCCCCATATCCCCTGCTTTTTGCTGCTTTCGCCCTCTCCTACCCCCTCTTCAACTCTTTCCCCTCCCCTTCCCCCTCCCCCGTTCCCCCTCCCACCTTCTTCCCCCTTCCCCCTCCCCCCTCCTCCCTCCGCCCACACCTTCCCCACACCTCCCCACTCAGACCTATAACCACGCTTATCTGCGCGGTGCAGATATGTCCAACCAGGACCTCTACCGGTCCATCTTTGCTGGTGAGGTGGGGGTGGGGGGTGCAAGGGGGTGGGGGGGAGATATGGTAGCAGTGTGGGGGGGGGGCGAGAGAGATGCGCGGATATGTTCAATCAGGACCCCTACCTGTCCATCTTTGCTGGTGAAGGGAGGGGGTAGCAAGGGGAGGGGGTAGCCAGGGGCGGGGGTAGTAAGGGGAGGGGAGGGCGAGGGAGGGAGGTAGGTGTATCGGGCGAGAGTGAGGTGCGTGGATATGTCCAATCAGGACCTTTACCAATCCAGAATTGAGTAGATTGTACGAGGGTGACGAGGGGTGGGGGAGGAGGGGGTGAACGGGGGTGGCGGAGATTGGGTAGCAGGGGGGAGGGGGGACGAGAGTTGCGCGGATATGTCCAATCAGGACCTCTACAGGTCCTTGTTTGCCGGTTAGGGAGGCGGAGGGAGAGGGATGGGTGTTTGCCAGTAGGGGGAGAGGAAGGAGGATGGTGAGGATGTCTGGGACGGGCAGGGGGAAGGGCAAGGGACAGGTGGAGGGAAGGAGGGGGGGATGGCGAGAGCCAGGGTAGCAATGGGGGGTCGGGGAAAAGGAGGAGAACCAACCGAGGGGCGACGAGCGAGGAGCGGATCTGGTCAGGATTGGCGGCCAACCAAGCTAAGAGGGTGGGTTTTCTCCGGCGCACTGGCATGTTTGCACTCTCCTTCCTTCGATTTTTGAGGCGCCTAAAAAATTGTTTGCACTCTCCTTCCTTTGGAGTTTCCAATCCTCCACGCCCCTCCTTTTCCCACCCCCACTTACCTTTTTTCCATTCAGCATGTGACTGCCGCCTCATCAACCTGAGCGGGTCATCCTTATTCGGTTGAAACTCTTCCCCCCATCCTCTTCTTCCCCCTCCCCCGTCCCCCCTCCCCCGTCGTCTCCCGTCCCTCGCCCAACGTTATCCCCCATCCAGCGTGTGGCTTCCGGCTCATCTACCTGACCAGATTGCACCTCTCCCCCTCCCTGCCTCTCTCCCCCTCCCTGGCTCTCTCCCCCTCCCTGCCTCTCTCCCCCTCCCTGGCTCTCTCCCCCTCCCTAGCTCTCTCCCCATCCCTGGCTCTCTCCCCATCCCTGGCTCTCTCCCCATCCCTAGCTCTCTCCCACTCCCTGGCTCTCTCCCCCTCCCTGGCTCTCTTCTCCCCTTCCTGCCTCTCTCCCCCTCCCTGGCTCTCTTCTCCCCTTCCCGCCTCACTCCCCAGATCAACCGTCCAACATGTGACTGCCGCCTGATCAACCCGAGCGGATCGAATCTCGCTGGAAGCACCGGGCTCCCTTTCTTCGTATTCTTCCATCCCATTTCTCACCCCCTTTCCCCCCTCCCCCCCTTTCCCCCTCGAACCAACCATCCAGCATGTGACTGCCACCTAATCAACCTGAGCGGATCGAACCTCGCTGGAAGCACCGACACCTTTGCGGGCTTTGAGCTGGCCAATCTAGAGAACACCAACTGGTGAGTGGCAGAGGCGTGAGTGCGCGTGCCGCATACGCTCCCTGGTTGGACTCAGAATGCTAAGGGGATGTCAGAGGGGTCTCAAAGCACCGACACCTTTGTAGGCTTTAATACTGGCCACCGTGGAGGACACCAACTGGTGAGCAGCAGAGGTGGGAGCAGGCTTGTGCTCTCTATTGACCCTCAGAGTGCTAAGGGCACTTCTGAGGGCACTTCTGAGGGCACTTCTGAGGGTCTCAAAGCACCGACACCTTTGCGGGCTTTGAGCTGGTCAACGTGGGGAACACCAACTGGTGAGCGGCAGAGGCGTGCTTGCTGTGTGCTGGCGCGGTGATAGTTAAGTGGTTGATTGATTCAGCGAGCTATGACGACTAGTGAGGGGCTTGGAAAGCTCGGACAACTTTCCGGGCTTCGAGCGCGCCAGCCTGGAGAACGCCAACTGGTGAGCTGCTGCGGTGTGAATGGGCCGGGGCTCTGTGTGTTGACTCCGAGTGCCAAGAGGACTTGTGTGGGAACTTGTTAGCGGTGCCGCCACCTTTCCGGGCTTTGAGCTCACCAACCTGAAGAGCGGCAACTGGTGGACGGCCGAGAATCAAGTGGGCCTGTGTGCTCTGTGTTGAAACTGAGTGCCATGGGGGCGTAGTGGCAGGGAGCGAGCTCTCAGCTTTGAGACGTCTCTCAAAGCTAATCTACTTAACCTCAAATGGGCATGTGCACTGAGTGCACTCAGTGTTGACTCACAGTGCTATGGGGGCGTAGTGGCAGGGAGCCAGCACTCGACGACTGGGTTGTCGTCAGAGAAGCCAGCCTTTTGCCCCCTCCCTCCCCCCTCCTCCTCCCCCCCCCCCGCCCCCGCCCCCTGTTCCCCCCTAGAGAATCAAATCCTTCTCTCGGCACCCCCCCCCTTCACTCTCCCGTCTCCATCTCTCACAGGGAGTGTGCTCTCCCGGACCTGGTTGTCTTAAGAGGAGCCAGCCTCTCGTCCCCCCCCCCCCCCCCCTCTCACAGATTCAGTTCCTTCGCTCTGTTCGCCCCCCACCTATTGCACCCCTCCCCACCTCCCTCAGGGAGCATGCTCTTGTGGACCAGGTTGTATTCAGAGGGGCCAACCTTCTCTCTTCTCCCTCCATCCGTCCCCCTCCAATCCCCGCCTTTTTTTTGCGTGCGGTGTTCTTGAGAAATTCTGAAAAAGACTCTCCTTTCCGTCCCCCTCCCCTCCCCACCTCTCGCAACGAGCGTGCTCTCGCGGACCGGGTTGTCTTAAGAGGGGCCAACCTTCTTTCATCCCCCTCCATTCTCTCTGGCCTCCTTTCCGTCCCCCTTCCTCCCCACCTCCCTCAGGGAGCGTGCTCTCGCGGACCGGGTTGTCTTCAGAGGGGCCAACCTCCGCAATGGTACTTCTTGCTAGCCGCTTGATTTTGAGGCCACCCAAAAGCGTGCTTCTTGCTAGCCGTTTCAGCCGCATCCTTCTTTCTATCTTTCTTTTTTAATATTCTTTGAACGGCTTTTGCTGTTCCCTTGAAACCTTTTGAGTGTGCCCTTCTCTTCTCTTCTCTTCTCTTCTCTTCTCATCTCTTCTCGTCTCTTCTCTTCTCCTCTGCCTATATCCCTTCTCTATCCTGCATTGGATTCGCCCATTTGTGTGTTATGAGCTCCTTCTCTCTTTTCAAGGAGCTCCGTTTCTCACATGCTTCGTTGCAAATCTCTCTTACGACGTTGCCTCCTTCTCTCTTACCACGTTGCTACCTTGGTTTTCTGACCTCCCCCTCCACCTCCCCCCCCCTTCCCCTTCCCCTTCCTCCTTCTCGCTTCTTCCCCCTTCCCCCTTCCCCCTTTACTCACCCCCTGCCAGCAAACTTCACTAATGCGATTCTTTCTGGTTCACAGTTCGAGGGTAAGCTCTCTTCTGTCTCCATTCGCTGGTGCATCTTTGTCGTTTGCACATCCCCTGGTCCATCACCCTATGTTCATGTGCTTCGTTCTTTAAACTTCTTTTCGTTCACATATGTTTTGGTGGACAAAGCACATTGGCTAGTTAAAACCCCCGGTTTCGCTCCCTTGCCATCCCACCTCTACCAGCTGCCTGCTGGTGCTGACGTTACAGGAGCGGATTTCACGGATGCCGTAGTGGACCACGCACAGCGGCAGCTCCTGTGTCACCTCTCCGGCTCTCACAGTTCACATCCCTGTCACCACGTCCCTTGATATCCACCTCTGCCAGCTGCCTGCATGAGCGGATGTGACGGGAGCGGAATTCACAGGCGCCATAGTGGACAACGCACAGCGGCGGCTGATGGTGGTTCCACAACCCCTGTGGTCGCCCCCTTTGCGTCCATGTCCCTTAGACTGCAGGCGCGGATGTGACAGGAGCGGACTTCACGGATGCCATAGTGGACAACGCACAGCGCCGGCTCATGTGCCTTCTCTCCGGTTCTCACAGTTCACATCCCTGCTACCACATCCCTTGTTATCCACCCCTGTCAGCTGCTTGCAGGAGGATGTGTTGGGGGCAGACTTTATGGATGCCGCAGTGGACAAGGCACAGCTTTTGAGTCGACTCAGAAGCAGGCCTGTGTGATCCCACCTCTTCCACCTGCTAGCAGGAGGGGATGTGACGGGAGCGGACTTCACGGATGCCAGAGTGCACAACGCACAGCGGTGGCTCTTGTGTCACCTCTCCGGCTCTCATGGTTCACATCCCTGCTACCCCACCCCTGGTTCTCCCACCTCGATCAACTGCTTGCAGGGGCGGATGTGACAGGAGCGGACTTCACAGACGCCATAGTGGACAACGCACAGCGGCGGCTGATGTGCCGGAAGGCCAAGGGGGTGAACCCAGTGACTGGAGTGGAGACCAGGGAGAGCCTCGGGTGCTGAGAGATGGGAATAGTAGCCTGAACGGCCAATCCAAGGGAGCCATAGTGGACAACGCACAGTGGCGGCTCATGTGTCGCTAGGCCAAAGGAGTCAACACAGGTACCCGGGTTGAGACCAGGGAGAGCCTGTGGTGCTGAGGGATGGGAGGCGGTTTGGTCTGGTCCAGATCACTTTTGTCGATGATGTGTCACAAAGGCAAAGGGAGCCCATGGCTACCTTGGAGACTAGAGAGTATAATTTCATTGCTACACTGAAACATAGATATGATGTTATATAGTTACACTACTGCATGTAACAAAGTAGTGTTGCTGATAAACCAGCTCCATAGTGGCGCCCTGGCAGCCGCCCCTGTAGCCTGTGGCGACCATGCTCGTGCTGGTGGTGTTGCCGCTCCTGCAGCTCGTGCTGAGCCTGTCGACCCTGCTGGTAGGTGCTGGCGCCACCACTGCTGCTGCCAATGCTGCTGTTGCCGATTCTGCAGCTGGTGGCCCTGAGCCCTCTGCAGCTTCCGCATATGGTGGCCATGCGCCCTCTGCTGCTTCTGCAGGCGCCGATGTTTCTGGTGCACTAAGCATCTGATTCCCTGCAGCCCCTGGGTGAGCCTCATGCCCTGCAGCCCCCAGGCGAGCCTCATCCTCTGTCTGCCCCAGCCGTCTCCTCTTATCCACACCTTTAGCCACAACAGCAATGGATCCATCCTCCGCCAACCCAATAACAAGCTCTGGACTTGAATTTTCTCCTGTAGAAGCTTCTGCAGAAGCTTCTACCCCTGCAGCAGCCTTGCCGCAGAGGCTCTTGCCGTCTGTGAGATGCTGAGCCGCTTGCAGATCCTGCAAAACCAACAGCTGCTCTACATCCTGTAGATCCAGATTCTGCAGATCCTGCACCTGCTTCAGATGCTGCGGGTTCTGCAACTGGTCACTCGAAGCCTGACTTTGAGAAGAGTGAGTTTCATTCCTCTTGCTCGAAGTAAGCTCCTTTGAAGCCTCAATGTCTTCCATCACCTGCAGCTCACACAACACCTGCAGATCCTGCAGATCTTGCTGATCTTGCTGATTCTGCAGATCCTGCAAGTCGGTCCATGAAACCTGGCTTTGAGAAACGGAAGGTTCTTCTTTCTTGCTGGAAGAAAACTCCTGAGACGCCTCAGAAATTTCCATCTTGTGCGGCTCAGATAGCATCTGCAGACCCCCCTGCTCCTGAGACTCCTGCGACTCATGCGACTCACGCCACTGCTGCAGACCCTGCGGCTCAGGCAGCATCTGCAGATCCCGTTGCTCCTGCGACTCCTGCGACGCACGCCGCTGCTGCAGACCGTGCGGCTCAAACAGCATCTGCAGCTGCTCCGGCTGCTCCTGCGACTCATGCCACTGCTGCACCTCCTGCGACTTGTGCCGCTGGAGCAGCTCTATCAACAGCTGCACTTCGTGCAGCTTGTCCCACAGACCCTGGTTCTTACAGCCAGGAGCCTCATCCCTCCTGTTAGCAGCGAACTCCTGCACTTGCGGCACTTGTGGCACTTGCTGCACCTCCTGCGCCTCCTGCACCTCTTGCAACTGGCCCCACGAAGCCTGCTCCTGAGAAACGGAGGTTCCTTCCCTCTCGGAAAGAGAGGGCTCCTTACACGCCTCGAAATCTCCCATCGCCTGCAGCTGCTGCAGCTGGTGCCACAGAGCGTGATTCTGAGGGATGAAATTGCACTGAGGTGCACTGTACTGCCCAGAAACAGCACTCCTCTCCTGGCGCAACCGGTGCCCATTCCGACCCATGGCTGCAACGGGGGTTCCATTCCTCTCCCCACGAGGTTCTGTTTCTCCCCCGCGCTGCTCAGGGGAGCCGATTGAGAGGGGATTTGGACTGTGTCTCGAAGTCGGGGTTCTCTTCCCCTCGGGTGCAGCAGCAGCAGTAGCAACAGCGGCCTCTGCTGCCTCTACCGCCGCCACCGGGCCGTCCAGGAGCGTTTTGAGTTGACTCAAAAGCGACCGGCGCTCAGTGCAACCAATCGGGGCGGGCCGGTGCTCAGTGCAACCAATTGGGGCGGGCCGGTGCTCAGTGCAATCGATTGGTGCGGGCCGACGCTCAGTGCAACCGATTGGGGCAGGAGTTGGCAACCGGTGAACAGCACAACTTGTACCGAATGCGATGGGACTGGCACTCAGAGCTCCCTTCCGCTCGAAAGCAGCAGCAGGAGCAGCAGCAGCAGCTCCTGGCGCAGCAGCAGCAGCAGCAGCAGCAGCAGCCTCTGCCTCTTCCGCTGCCACTGGGCCATTGCGCTGAGTCCTACTATAACGCGGATGGGGTGATGGGGAAACGCCCCGGCGTGTGTTGGCCCCTGTCACAAGGTGACTCCTACTATTCATAGCACTGCTGTAACCGTGACGCGGCGGGCGGCGCGGTGCTGGAACGGTGGGGACGGCAAGAGCGGCAGGGATGGGAGGAGCAGCAGGAGCAGCAGGAGCAGCAGGAGCGGCCCTGGCGTGTTTCGAGGGGAGAAGGCTCTTTTCCAGCCAGTCAGAGAGCCGCTCACTGCTCCCGTGCTGCTGCTGCTCGTGCCGCGGCGCAGGAACGACAGGAACAGCAGAAACAGCAGGAGCAGCAGAAACGCCCACGCCACGGTTCGTGGGAAAAAGGCTGTTTTCCAGCCAGTCAGAGAGCCGCTCGCAGCTCCCGCCATGCTGCTCGTGCCGCGGGGCAGGAGCGGCAGAAACGCCCCAGCTGTCACCGTGTTTCGCGGAGAAAAGGCTGTTCTCCAGCCAGTCCGAGAGTCCCTCGGTGCGGCTGCTCCCGCGCTGCTGCTTCTCGTGCCGCGGCGCAGGGACGGCAGGGGCGGCAGGAACAGAAGGAAGGAAAGGAAGGGAAGCAGCGCCTCTGCCATGACTGTCACCGTGCTTCGCGGAGAAAAGGCTGTTTTCCAGCCAGTCAGAGAGTCGCTCGCTGCTCCCGTGCCCCTCGTGTTGCGGCCGCGGCGACCTCCGCTGGGTTTGGTGCCATGACTGCTTCGTTCCTGTCGCCTGGGCGTCGCTTAAGGACCATGACCGCTTCGTTCCCGTCGCCTGGAAGTCGCTGAACGAACGCGACCGCACCATCTGCGTCGCCTGGGCGTCGCCGTACGGCCGCGCCCACGACCATGACTGAGGGGCCGTCTTTTGCGTCGCCTGGGCGTCGCTGAACGAGCGCGACCACGCCGACCGCGGCGACCGCCGGGGGGTCGTTTCGTAGGACGCCAGTTGCGCCGCCCTGACGTCGCTGAATGACCGCGATCGCGACCACGGCGACCGCGGGGGCGGCGCCGTTTGCGTGGTCGCCTGGGCCACATCGCTAAACGACCACGACCGAGCCATCGCTTGCGTCGCATGGGCGTCGCAATGCGACCATAACGAAGGCGTTTGCGACACCCTAGCGATCGTGACAGGGGGATTGGGATCGTCCATGATCGACTCGGACTCCGAGTCGAATTCAATGGCTCTGAGCCGTCGGACGAGCAGACGGCCGGCACTGGCAGTTAGTGCACACATGGGGCGACGGTGCGGTTTGAAGTACTAATTAAAGGAAACGTACTACTACCACTAGTAGCTCGTAGGATTCGGGATCGCCGGCAGACTCGGAAACGGAACCCTCACCGGAACACTCACGGGAACCCTAGCAGGGATGCTCGTTCCAAGCGCGTGGACCGTGAGAGCTAAGGAACCGCTCTCGTTCGAGGTCTTCGCCATGGTCGGAGACCACAAAATGTGGACGGCTGGATTTCTCGGCCAGGTCGAGACGGGCCCACTACCTTTCCACGATTTCAGCCCAGAACCGTTCTGAGCTGGTGACCACGCGACGGTGCGCTCATGTGTCACGTCAGTGACGTGGAGGTGACACGTGGCGGAGGCAGGAGGAGGCGCACGTCACACGATATCCGTGATTGAGATACAGGTGGTCACCACAGTGGTGATAAGCTATGATGGTGCTAATCACGTGGCGCCGACACGATAGTACTTGACAGATTGTATTTCAACCGTCATCGGCGTCCGCTCGCTTCAGCGGACGACCCTCGGGGGTTGGTGGGTGGGTGGGTCGGTCGGTCGGTTCCATGCACACCAAGAGGAGGCCCGCAGAAGCAATTTCTGTCTAAAATTAATGGCGCCAGTTCATTTTTATCGATGGCAAATTCGGAATCTAGACGGAAGACTGAGAGAAGCGGCGAATCCAGATTTTTTTCCTCTAGCCCGATGGACGGTACAGGAGTCTTGTACTTTCTGAACGTGACGCTCGTAGTGGCCAGAGGAGGATTGTCGTGAGATTAGGCGAGGACGCCGAGGGATGGTACAGCAATCTTGTTTTGGGACCTCTCAAAACACGGATCATGTGGTGCCCGACCTCGCTCCACCCCTACCTTACCCTACTCCAGCCAAGTTCGTCATGTACCCTACCCTCTCGCCAGTAGTACTCTGTACTGTGCTGGTGCTATTGTCTGTGTGTACAGGAGGCGAGGCGATGCGAGGCGAGATACTTCTGGTGGAAAGCGGCCGCGATCCGAAATCCAAAAGAGTCGTTGGCCTGACTCGCCGCTGTACGAGAGGATCATATTCTCTGTTAGCTTCGTGCGGCTCGGTTGTTGAGACGGTCACCGTCTTTGTGCTGGTGATGATGTGAGCTGAGATGCCTAGGTTGGTGCAGAACACACGTCATCACCACTGTAAGGGGAACGGTCAGGCAGAAGATGAGGTGAGGAGATATTGTTCTAGGGGTTAGATGAGATGAGTGTGTGTCAGAAAAACTCGTGCTAGGCGGTGGGTCGAATATGCGGGATCGATATGGAATGCTCAGTAGGAGGGGATGGCGGAGAGGAGAGAGAGAACTGCCGCGCATCACTCGAATCCAAACCATGAGGTAAGGAAAGCGGACACGTGTTTCCATCCTTTCGCTTAGTACTGAAAATCACCGGTTGGGAAATTATGGGGCATTACGAAATCGACAGTAACTACCCCTTTCGTACATTGATGTCTCAAATAGAAGTCGCATTGGGTACAAGCTACACCTAGCCCGCAGAATTTCACACCCTAAAACTGGGTGGAAGCAGAGCTTTGTTTCTACCCTGACCATTTCTGAGTGACAGTACTCCCTTGTTCGTACGGTCTAAGCACGGCAGACTCCACGCGGGGAAAACTTTGAGCACTGGCTAAGCTGATGTCGGGTTTCCTAACTCGAGAAACACTAAATCGAACAGTATACGTTTCGTATAAGAACCCAAGCTAACTTGTTTATTCAGGGGTATCCGGATCTGGTCGTCAGGAGCTGCTTTCGGGAGGTGAATACCCTCTCGGGGGCGCCTCCTGTGAAAAGACAGGGTTTCGGGTTTACCGCGGGCTAGGTGTACTCACGAATGGCTTTGGAGCAATGTGATCAGAAGCCGATCTGGGCAGTGACGGTTAGGGCGATTGTGATGTTTCGTGATATGACGTTAACGAGATTTAGGGTGTACAACTGTACACAGTAAAGGCTAGCTAGAATGGGAGTAAATGTGAGGTAAGACTGGTACAGTACTTTGTGAGCTGAGGAGGTAAGGGCTTGTTATTTTCTAGCGCTGGAAGGGATCAGACGAAGAGCAGGACGAACTAAAGTCGCTACATAACGGGGCGGCATGAGAAACGAGATACGTAACCACACGTTAAGAGACGACATGAGTTTACTGTACGGAGCGACACAGCTCGTTCTTGGTGGAGGCACGAATAGCGGATTGAAGAAAGGAACACGGCCCTTGTGGGTCAGGAAAACCCGTCACCGGCGGATGGCCTCCAAGAACGGACGGGCAAAATGTGACTCCAGGTTTGTGCGTGAATCGACAAAAATATCAGGGTGCAGCAGAGTTCTTGGGCAGCTGACAGGACGAAATTAGCCACCGTGCAGGCAGAGTTCATTGGCTCGAAATTACACGGGCCGCAAATTCGAGCCAATAAAGTGCTAGCTGACGACCAGCTGGCGTCCAGCTGACGACCAGCTGACGTCCAGCTGGCGTCCAGCTGGCGCTTTCCCGCACAATTGAGTAAGCTGAAAGGCAGACATGACTCAGGTGAATCTTCCCTTCACATCAGATAAGCGCAAACAGTTATGCGAATCATTTACAGGTATACACACGAATTCCTTTTCAAGCTTATTTTGTGTTCGGGCGGGTAATCCAGAATCGAGCGCAAAATTTTCAAGAGCGAAATGGGCCAAAATAGGGTAGTCTGGTTACCTAGTTGGCATTTTTCAGTCTAAAGCGGGTGACCATTGTTGTATCTTTTTGCGTTCCTGGGACAACAGTATGAGGCCGTCTGCATGCTTGGAGGTCTCAATATAAGATGTGGTAACAGTTGGAGATTAGTTGGCCTCTATGGGTTGGGCCGTTGCCCGTGTGTTTGAACCAATGGGCCTGTAGATGGGCACTTGGTATCTCATGAATGGGCGGTTCACTAGATTAAAGGTGGATTGAGTACGTATCAGTTTTACGAATCAACATTATAATTCCAATACACATCCAGAAGGGCTTGAGCAGTTGCAGCAAGTTACAGGGTAGCTAATAAAGAGCACATCTGTCTCAAAACCAAGGGATGTGGACATGGAAGGGCACTAGGTGTAAGGAATTTTATTCCTTACCGGATTGTACTGCAATCGCGTACACCCGAACTCTCGGAAGACCAGGCTCGGTCCGTTTCTAACGCGACCCCGAGGCACGCCCGCGCCGCCTCCGACCCTTTCCACCGCGCCTGTACCCAACCTAGCCCTCCGGGTTCGTCGCCTAGCTAGAGCACTCGCTATATAACGCTAGGCTATCTTTCTTGTACTCGTCATTATTATTCCGCGCACTCTCAGTTATTATTCATAACATCTGGTATCAGAGCTACTTTCCTGATTCACCCCGCTTTCTCAGAGTAGTTTATTTCCAAGGCGTGGTTAACCCTGCGGGGCTGCAAAGCGGTTGTCCGTGAGCTAGAGTTATTAGCTCACACAACTACGATAGCGTTTGCGCCCCCTACAGTTTCTTACAGCGGCATTCCCCCTGCCCGAAAGGCGTAGCATTCGCATCATGTCCCAGGCCCAGCTAGACGAGATCATGGCTCAGATGCAGGCAATGCAAGCCCGGATGGCGAGTTTGAATAGTGAAGTCGTGAGACTTTAGACGGAGAACACCGAGCTTCGCCAGACGCGTGGTGAAGCGCGTCAGGAGTCGCCTGGAGTCGCCGACGACGAGGTCAAGCAAGGTGCCGATGACGCAGCGAGCGAAACCGTCCTTGACGAGCTCGCACGGGAGTTGGAGCAGGACGACATGCGCACTGTGACCGTAACGAAGATTAAACTCAAGCCAGCAACACCGCCCCCGTTCAACCCTTCAAACAAGGCGACGACGGTGCAAGGGTGGCTGTTCAGCATGGAGCTGTTCTTCACGGTAGCAAGTGTGCACACCGATGATGCGCGCATTAATTATGCCGTGTCGCTGCTCCGAGGACCGGCGTTGGATTGGTGGCGACGACAGTTGGCGATTGGGACTCCGGCAGGAGTGAAGCAGGCGAAGGACGGGACTTTGGACTCTTAAAACCAACAGGCAGAAACAATATTCGGTAAGACCACGATTCGCACGTGGAAACAGTGGGGCACAACTATGCGAGCTCGTTTTGAGCATTCATCCGCCTCAGACGACGCTCGTATGAAGCTGCGCAACTGGCGGTAGGAGACTACTGTTCAAGATTACACTGCGTCGTTCTCGGCACTTGCGGACCAAGTCGACGACCTCAGCGAAGCGGACAGGCGGGACAAATACGTTAGCGGGCTGCATTTTGACATTCAATACGAGTTGCAGCGGTCCCGTCGCAAAACGTTCGATGAAGCCGTCCAGCTGGCGTCAGCAGCCGATGCACTGCAGCAGTGGGCGAGAAAGAACAACAGGGATGTTGGTCGTTTTCGTGGACAGTCTCCCGACCCCACGATCAATGGCGTGTCAGCGCCCGATGAAATATTTTACGGGCTATGTTTTCGATGTGACAAGCCAGGTCACCGAGCTAAGTACTGCCCGACGGCGCCCAAGAAGACGAAGAACGACAAGGAGAAGCCGGGAAATGGGAAAAGTCAGTAGCAGACGGGCCGCCTACTGACGAGGCTTTGTCGCCCGAACTTCAACGTTCCCACCAAGTTGTGGTACCAATACACGCTATCGACCGCACTAGGACGAATAACAGGAGCGAACCTGAAGATCACCCTGTGCTGGTAGAAGGCAAGGTTAACGGCAAAAAAATAAAATTATTTGTGGATGGCGGAGCGAGTCACAGTCTATTCACGTAACAACAGCGAAGCAGTTGAAGCTGACTTTGGAAAAATGTCTTCCCGAAATCGACGCGCGATTGGTGGACGGAACTCCACTTGCAATTCGAGAACGAGCGCGCATGGTGCGGATGAAGTGTGGCGACGACTTCGGATTCAGCATGCCCATGCTGGCCACGACGCTGGACGGCTGCGACATTCTGCTTGGGCATGATTGGCTGCGAAAATACAACCCGCGGATCGACTGGACAACTGGCGAATGCAGCGTACACTGTGCGAACGGGTGGCGCGTACTTCCAAGCTGGCGTGGGAGAGATTCGGTGTCGACACGTGTCAACGCCATCACCCTCCAGCGAGCAGTTAAAAAAGGAGCTGATTTGTACGCCGTCCACCTGGCCAAAGCGACGGTCGACGACATGCCAAAGGACATTGACAAACTTTGTGCCAGTGTCCCTGCCGAGCTCGCCGCGCTGATTCGACAATACCCTGATACTTTTCCGGACGATCTGCCAGCAGGACTGCCACCCGAGCGCCCCCAGGACCACAAAATTGACCTGGAACCCGGCGCGCAGCCTACAGTCAGGACCCAGTGACGGCTGACTCAGCCTGAGCTCACGGAGTTGCGAAGCCAACTGGACTACCACTTGGAGAAGGGGTTCATTTGGCCCAGCACCTCCCCGTTCGCAGCACCCATCCTGTTCACGCCCAAAAAAGACAGCGGGCTGCGAATGTGCATCGACTACAGGGCGCTGAATCGACGAACAATCAAGTCCCGCTACCCAATCCCACACGCGGACGATCTTCTCGATCAACTTCGCGGAGCTCGCTTCTTCTCGAAAATCGACTTACGCGGCGGTTAATCCGAGTCTTCGCTGACGACTGCCACAAGACGGCGTTCCGAACCCGCTATGGCAGCTTCGAGTACACAGTGATGCCGTTTGGCCTCACGAACGGGCCCTCCACTTTCCAACTCACCATGAACGGCGTATTCCGAGATCTGCTCGACAAGTGTGTCATCGTCTATCTTGATGACATTCTGATCTACAGCAAGACACAGGAACAGCATCTCAAGGACCTTGAGCAAGTTTTCTGGCGGCTGCACGAAAACCGGCTCATCACGAAGGGCTCCAAGTGCGAGTTCTTAAAACCAGAGCTAGAATTTTGGGACATGTCGTGGGAGCGGACGACATAAAAATCGACCCGAAAAAATCACAACGATTCGCGACTGGAAGCCGCCGACGAATTCACAGGAGCTGCAGAGTTTTCTCGGGTCCGTTAATTATGTCCGGAGGTTTATCCCTAATATGGCAGGGATAACCGGACCGTTAACTGACCTGCTGCGGAAGGGCAC